AATAATATGTTATTATAATACTAGCTATATTTTTAGGCTTTGTTTTTGGTTATGTGTCTAATAAGTGTATGTATGTATGTTATATATATGTTGTTATAGTAAGTAGTTTAATAAATTATATGTATTTGATACTTTTGTGCAATACAGGTTTTTGTATTTTATGCACGAAAAACTATTAATTCACTCTTGCGCCACCTGCCTATTTCTGTCTGTTCTCCTTTAACCAAAGGTTGTCTGTCAGAGATTGCCCTAGCGATAAGACCGCCTTTTGTACCTTTATGTGTATATTTCAATCTGTATTTATGTTACTGTATTTCACTTGAATTATTCACTTGTCATTGTATATTTTTATTTATGGTACAATAAAGTGTTAAATAAATAAATAAGTCGCACTATTTGATTTATTTGATGTCATCACAAGAACACACACACACACATACACACAAGGAATATAAAAAAGTATAATTACAATATATACACACTTTAAATAATTAAGATTGTGTTTCAAAAATAACATATAACTTTAATCGTGGTCAGTTGGATTAAAAGACGTTATTTTGGTTTCAAAACCAAATTACTACACCGATTTTGATAAAAAATTTCTGTAGAACTAAACTTTAAGTATATTCTTTCAGTTAAAAAAATAATCATCCAAATCGGTTTGGAACTGACGGAGTTATGTGATAACAAATATTAAAAAAAACCGAATAGAGAACAGAGAACATTCTTCTTTTTAAAGACAGTTGAAAACGAGGTATCGAATGTAAAAACATTCTTTTTATATCAAATAGTAACTGCAAAGATTATCAAAGATTATTATAGTCAATTCAACAAACAAACAAGCTTTTTTTGTATGGATATTAAGACAATAAGTAAATATTTTTTATAATCTATATATCTATATACGTGACGCAAAAACTTTGTAGCCTATTTTACAAAAATTACGCGGACGGAGGACTATGAAATTTGGCACACTTATAATTTATACAGAGAAGGAGTGCACAATGTAAATATTTTTTTTAATTATACATAAAAATACATGAATTCAATAAAAAAAAAAGAACATTACACACACTACCACGCATTTAACACATACACACGCATATATACGTACTCTTATGTTTATTGTTAAAGTCTGTGGTCAAATTGAGAATAGATTAATATTGTTTGCCTTTAATATTATTTGTCTATAGTCTTATTGATTGTCGAACATAAATATAATAAATTAATTTATTACAATATATGTTATGGTTGAATTTCGGTCACTGGGCGACCACTAATTAAATTAAAACAACACGGAAACAACGAATTTGGGTTTGTTGGAAGAGAACTAAAGCAGTTGTGTTTGCATGGCTGTGTTTCGGTTTGAAGGGTGGAATATGGCGTGAATTTACTGGGTACGGAGGAATAACACCTAAGTCCTCAGGAATGGCAACGCATGGGGGGTATCATAGGCGAAACAGTATACTCTGTTATGTCCATGGTACTGCTCACGTCTATAGGCGACGGTTACCACTTTCCATCAGGTGGGCCGTCAGCTTGTTTGCCATTCTAAGCCGTATAACAAAAAAAAAAATGTCTTCTACTCTATTCTATTCTAAATAAAGTATAAATAAAATAATAAAAAATAAAGACGTACATAGAATCTTTATTATTGCGCGCATTTCATTATTGTTTGCGCTTCCATTTCTGAAATTAAGCAATAGAAGGAAACTTAATGCATTTCCCTTAGATTACATAGACAGAGCGTCTCCATACAAATGCTTCTCAAAAATAGGCCAACATTTATACCCCTGTGTGCGTTAATAGGGTTTTTTTATGGGTGAAAATGGTATGGTAACCCCGCCTGCGCTAGCGGGATACGCTGGCGGAGTACCAGTGAAGGGTGATAGATGAGAATGAAAACAGACCAGTTAGCCCATCATGATGAATTCATCAGGAATTAACCATGGAAGCGCAAACAGTAATGAACCGCGAGGAGGTCTGCCTGGTTGGGTATATTGCTAGCAATGGGATTCTCAGCCTCCATTACTAACAATCCCTTTCCCCCCGCGTATATAGGGTTACCATTATGTATATTTATTACTAAATATATGGGTAAAAATATATGTTCTTTAAGGTTAAATTGAAAAATAAAAACGATACAAAATACTTGTAATATATTTGAAAGGACCAGATAAATAATTACAGCAAATTTATTAAAATCGTTCCAGTAGTTTAGTTTAAAAAACTAAAATTATTATAATATGGAATAAACTAAAATATCTGGACGAATGGCGGTCTTGTACCGTGCGTTTTTCAAGGCACTTTCTTCCACGCACAACCACTCTTTGGAATCAACTTCCAGCAGCAGTATTTCCGAACCAATAAGTCATCATAAGCTTCAAGAAAAGAGCATATTCCTTTTTGAAATGTGGTCAGCGCACCTGCAGTGTCGTTGTTGTTGTGGGTGATCATGGGCGGCGGTAGTCACTTACCATCAGGTGAGCCGCATGCTAGTTTGCCACGTGTGTTGTAAAAAAAGTTTTTAAATCGGAATGACTGGTAATGCCGCAAGTGAAGTCGGTTTGTTTCAACCGACTTCAAAAATGAGGTACTCAATTTGATTGTATTTTTTATGTTACTTCATAACTCCGTCAATTGTAAACCGATTTTTAAATTTCTTCTTGATAAATCTAATTTGTACAAAAGTAGATTGCTTGGGTACCTCTGTCCCATTCTTGTTTCAACCGTGAAGCAGTTGTTTGCATGGCTGTGTTTCGGTTTGAAGGGTGGAATATGGCGTGAATTTACTGGGTGCAGAGGAATATTTTCTATTCTAATTCTACCACTTTCTATTCTAACTTGTATAATATATATATATATATATATATATATATATATCTATATATATATATATATATATATTACAGATTACAGATTGGTCCTATAGAAATGTTTAAATAAATCAGGTTTATAACAAAATAACTGATCTTGCTTAAATTGAAGTCGATTTTTTTATAGAACATAATAAATAATCTAATAAGATATATTGTATCTATATATGTATATATTTGTCTCTTGTGAAGCAAGCATACATTGCGTGTTTGATCCCAAACAAACTGACCCAAAGGGCCTACAATTCAGAGTAAAACTTTGTGCTAAAACACGAAACACATTTCTTCCCAAATTGATTTGTTGGTTTCAATATAACTCGCAAAGTTTCACGTTAAAGGCCATCGGGCCAGTTAGTGACCAAAAATTTTTTGTTTCCTCTTACTTGAATACAAGCTTTTACCCTTAACTTCGTTCGCATAACAAGGATATATTAAATGTCTGAGATAAAAAATAGTTTACGTCCTTCTTATTCCAAAATATTACCTATAGATAGATAGATAGATACTTTTTATTGTTTCTCCCAAAAGATTACAATAGTAAACTTATTATAAATATAAACAATTACAAGAAATAATCACAATGAGAAAACAATAGGCGAAGTTATCGCTAAAAGCGATCTCTTCCAGGCAACCTTTGGATGGAGAGGAGTAATTATAAACAATTTGATCGGAGCACATTTAATTAAATTATAATAGCACTTTTTCTAATTTTTGATTAAGTGTTTAAAACGCAAGAAGTAACAAACACATGTTCACATTTACATATACTAATTGTATCTAGCGGCTTCGCACGCGTTAATCAATACCTATATAAAGTATCCTATATGTTAAGTGTAAGTCGCTATGTGGTCCCGGCATGGGATGGTCTTTTTTTATGCGTGAAAATGGCATGGTTACCCCGCCTGCGCTATCGGTATACACTAGCGGGGTGCCAGTGAACGGTGATAAGTGAGGATGACACTTTCAACTATCGTACGGCTCGCCATCGACAGGGAGTTCATCCTCATATCCTACAGCCTCAATGGTCGCGTACAGCGCGGTTTCAGAGATGTTTCCTCCCACGAACACTCAGGCTATGGAATGAGCTCCCTGCTGAGGTTTTTCCAAAAGGTTACATGGTTACAGTCAAAAGGGGAGTAAAGAGGTTTCTTCAGGGTCGACAACGCACGCGTAACACCTCTGGTGTTGTAGCTGTTTATAGGGTACGGCAACCACTTACCATCAGGTGAGCCGTATGCTTGTTTGCCACCTCAGTTGTATAAAAAAAAAAAAAAATATTTGTCCTTGTAACGTATCAATATAACACATACGCTACCGATGTCTTTAACGATTGTTATACTGAGCAATAAATCTGTGCTTTGTATCACTTCAAAGACTTTATTATGTCGTGTGTTTAACACTTCTGTACGTGTCTGTCTTGTACAAATTTGAACCTATATACTACGCAATAGAAATAAAAATCGTCTAACTCAAATACGCAGTTAAGGCGATATAGAAAATATATCTTTATGAGTCGGTTATTACAGTTATAAGTTGTAGATAGAGATGGGCAATCCACCTGGGTGGGTTTAAAGTCTGGTGGGTAAAAACCGGGTGTTTTGGGTTTATTGGGTTTAAACCCCATAAACACCCAAATTTTTGGGTGTTTATGATTTTGTACTTCATCATCGTCATCTCAGCCGCAAGACGTCCACTATACTGGACATAGACAATATTATTATGCAGCCTACAGAATAAAAAACTTTTAATTTGATTTTGAGTTTATTAAGAAAGAGATGAAAGTAAAATGTAAAACTACAGTCAATCACTGTCAGATTCAGAGTTATTACAAGCGATGAATTGTATAGGTTCGATAGGCTCTATTTCGTCTAAACTGTTATGTTCATTTACTTGCTCAATGAAAGCTTCTAAGGTATTTTCTTCATTAAACTGAATGTCCTCGCATTCAGCTTTATGTTTAAGATTCCAGTTATAACAAATGAATGAAATTTTTTCAGTTCTTTCAGTTGTAAGTCGATTTCTTTTGTTATTATGTATGTAGCCTTGGATACTAAAGGAACGCTCAGTGGCTGCCGAAGTACAGGGAATATGCTTAACTCAGTGGAACCACAAATACTTTTCCACCATATTAGGGGCTCAATGCTATCTAATGAGCTCCATACAAATCCTCTGGCCCAAAAGTTTTCTTTAGCTTTATAACACGCCAAATCTGCCATTACATTTGACAAACTTAAGTGTTGGCTTAAATTGTAGATAAACTCCATACCCTTAAGTTCTTCCTCTTGAGTAAGTTCGACTCCTAGAGTCCTGGGGTCTAGAATATATGCTGCAAAATGTATTGGCCTCATTGCCATATTGCATCTTGAAGATACTGATGTTAGAATCTGCTGTTTGCTTTCTTCGCTCAATGTCGAAATCTCATTTAATGCAAAACGTATCTTAGCTTGTACATCTCTAAATGTAATGTATGTGCGATGCAAACGATTCTGGTCGCTCTCTAAGTAAAATATGCTTTCAGTGACTGGTTCCAAAATACTTATACATTCCCCTGTCTTCGTCCAGAAATCATCACTTAGAATTAAATCTTTAATATCTCTTGAAATTACCACATCTTCTCTAACTGTTAATATTTGCAAAGCTATCTTATTTGCTTTCAAACTTTTTAACGAAGTAACATACTTCCCCATCTTGTAGCACAAGGCAATTTTAGTGTTTGTGTAGAATCTTCACCCTGCCTTGATTTTATCAACAAGGAACTTAATCGTTGACTCCTTTTAACAGTTTTTATTATATTTATGGCTTGCATAATAAACACAGTTACTTCTTGTATCTTTACAATATCTTGGCACAACAAGTTAAGGATATGTGCACAGCAACCGAGAGGAACAACATGTGGATATTTGAGTTTTGTTAATTCGAATGCCTTTTGTATATTTCTAGCGTTATCGCCAATAAGTACAAGAAACTTATTTGCTCCATACACTTTCATTACTTTTTCAACTTCTTGGCTAAGGTATTCACTAGTGTGAGGATTACTTTCTGTATTCAAACTTTTAACGTATGCAGGTTGAGGTTTTGATATACTCGTAAGAAAGTTTATTATTCCTTCATTTCTTAAATTAGACCAGCCATCGCACTGAAGGTGTAAGTAACTACAAGCATTTAGTTCCTCATTTAACTCAAAACGCATTTCTCTATATATTTTATCTAAGTATTTTGTCGCTAAAGCTTTACGTGAAGGTATTTTAAATTTTGGTTGCAATTTTTCGAAAAATTGTATCCATAAAGGATGTTGCACCATCGATAATGGCGTCCCTGTTACAAATATAGCTCTCGCTAATTCTGTTTTTATATGATCATCGGTGTCTTGAAACTCAGCATTTATAGTGTTAGCAGACGACGAGGGGCTTATAAAAGAATCATTTGTCTCTATCTCTGACAGTCCAGACATTTTGGTTTTGGACGAGCTATCTTTTATAAGTTTCATAGAGTCTTTTAATGTTTCTGGAGATTTTGGACAAGTGATAAGATGTTGAAGCATTTTGGCAGCATTACTGAATTTGTAGACCTTATTACAAAGCTTGCAAGAAACAGACTTGTTTGGTAAAGTACGGTAGTGCTCCCATATGCGTAAATCTTTAGGTCTCCCCATTGAACCTAAAAAAATGAACGATGATTAGTTGGTCTGACGAAAATTCAACAATAGAGTGCCTATTTTTTTACAATGATTATTTCTTGTTATTTACAATAAATTTATTAAAAAAATAATAAAATAAATACAAAAAACCTTTGTAAAATTACATCTCCTCGGAGGATTAAACGCAGACGCTAGTTTATTATCGTATTGTTCTGTATTTTTCTCAGCAACTTCTTTAATTCGATTAGGTACTTACGCATATTATGTTAAAAATAAATATCTAGTACACATCTTAGGCTATCCACCATTATTATCCAATGACGACTCTCAGCTAACTATGCACTATCATCCAAAATAAACGTGTATGGAAAATTTTATCCCAGTCGGTTGAGGATTGAGGATAATTGCATCAACATACGAACATACCTACATACTTTTATTTACATAACGCAAGCTAAATAAAAGCTTGTAATAATACATCTAATTTTAAGTTAAAATTGTTAAGTGATCATGATATAATTGTATCATTCAAAAATCCACTTACCTTTAATTATTTCTTGTTAAGTATAAATATTATTTCAAATCTGCTCCCTTAATATGCACTTTTTTACTGCTTTTCCTACCTAACACGTTACCAGGAAGTCACGTTACCAGAGTCAGAGTAATAGTGAACACGTTTGACAGTGATTGTCGTCGCCTCATATTCAGCGTCGACGAATATGGGAATCCCCAGTCATAATGTATTGCATGCGTGGCGGTCTTACTTCAAATCCATAAACAAAGAGATAATTACAGAACTCGATACTAGATGGCGCTGTTTTTGTTTGAAGAAAGTTTGCGGGCTAAAATACATAGAATTTCATCAATGACTTCCACAAAGAACAACATTTCTGTTTTTTCTAAGTGTGTATCTCTTCCGTATATTTCATAAGATATAAGCTTGGGCTACATTGTTATGCAACGTGATTTTGTCGCTGTCTTGCTAATAGGGTTGACAGATATACGATTTAAATCGTACTCATACTATTATTTGTCTATTTTTTAATGTACGATCGTAAAGATTATGATCGTAATTCGCACAAAAACATACGACTTTTTGGTTACCTGGCAACATTTTTATTATGAAACGAACATGCTCACATCATCAGTCACATGCAACAATTTATTGGGGATTTCCCCTTCACATCTGGCAGTCCTGCTTGCTAGAATATAGGTAAGTCAGCCACAGTTACTGACGATCGATATTTAAAGGGTATTGTTTTTGTGCTAAATATTTCATAAAAACGTTATTTAATACTTTGTGGATTATTAATTTAGTTGATAATCACTGGAAGTAAAATGGATGCTAATTTGAGAGATCAAGATCTTCGTATAAAACAGTTAATAAAAGAAAATCTACGTAAGTACTCTTTTTATACCTAGGTAGGTAAGGTATAATAAACACAAAAGGTACTTAGATCGCGTGTGTTCGAAGCATTTATTCTAATAAATTTAATTTAAAATTGTAGAAAGAAAAAAATGTCTGCCAAGCCGTAGCCGAAGCCGATCTCCAAATATATTTGGCGATAGTGAGACCCAGTGTCCAGATGATTTACCCAGCGTCGTCGCAACAAAGAAAAAAACGAGGATAAAGTAAAAGAAAATTTACTGAAAGAAGAAACAAACTGTTCTAAATGCTTAATTTATGGAGAAGAGGATAAAAGAAATGAGTATTTCGGACTGTTAGTGGCTCAAGAATTTAAATATATACGGCCATGTGTGCGAACGAGGTGTTATGAAGAAATTTTAAAGTATCTACGGGAAGCAAAAAAGGCCAACATGTTGATCAACTGCAACATGAAAACACTGAAAATTAATTACTTTCATTTTATTATATATAGATTTTTAAAATTTCCTGAAATATTATTAGTTAACGTTTTATTTAATATTGTAGAATTGATCAATACAATTTATAAAAATAATTTATTGGTATTACTTACATATTTTCAAAAAAATACGTAAAAACCTATTTTTTGGGTGATTATGGGAGTTTATGGGTGTTTATTGGGTTTTTACCAAAGCACCGGGTTTAAACCCGGTGCTTTGCCCATCTGTAGTTGTAGAGTTTAATTTGAGTTTTGGATTTAATCTGTTACACGCAAAGTCAATTTAAACTGAACTTTAAAATAGTAGAACATTACTGCTTTATTTTAAGTGGGTACTTTACCAGAACATTGTAGATATTACAAGATATAACTTTATGGATAATATTACTAATATATTAAAATAAATACGCGATGTCTGTTTGTACATACAAGATATTTAAGAAATAAAAAATATATATTTTTTAGAATTTTTATCTGTTTATCTACATATCTTGTTCTGAAATCATGCAAAAATTACTGCACCAAACTGAATGTGATCTTTAGTGTTTTTAAAGGTCTTACTTAAAATATATTTTTTATAGATAGACAGTTACTCTTTATTGTTTCCTCCAAAAGATTACAATAGTAAACTTATTATAAATATAAATAATTACAAGAAATAATCACAATGAGAGAACAATGGGCGGCCTTATCGCTAAGAGCGATCTCTTCCAGGCAACCTTTGGATGGAGAGGAGTAATTATAAACAATTTGGTGGGAGGCACGATGAAAAATATATTATTATTATTATTAATTTATATTAATACGATATGATGCTATACTAGGATATCCAACATTAAAATAGAGTGTAAAAAGGAAGAACGGGAAGAGTAAGAATATCAGGAAAAAATTGGTGTCGCATTGTATAAAGATGTAAAAGAACTCAGCGAAAATCTTGTTAAACTAAACATTTATTGTAGCAGGTGAATTAATTATTTATAAATGGGATCTAACAGCTCCATTGCTAAGAATATAATCTATCAAATTGACCTCCATGTGGTTTCCCCTGGACCATCAACCAGCCATCCTGGTTAATCCCTATTGAATTCGTCTCGATGGACTAACTGACCTGTTTTCGTCCTCACCTATCAACCTTCACTGGGGCCCCGCCAGCGTATACTGATAGCGCAGGCAGGGTTACCATTATCACTGAAAATAAAATATAGAGGATAAAACTATTAGCTTAATATTCTGTCAGGTTGACTTCCTCATACTTACTTCTGCAAACAGTCGTGGTTAATTTTTGACGTATTAATTACGTTGGATCAACTGACCTGACTTTATACTCACCTATCAAGGTGACTTACTTCTTCGGTTATGCCCCGCCAGTGCATACCAGTGACGTGGGCAGGGTTACCATTTTCGTCTCATAAAAAAAGTACAATCTAGTATGAATGAAACCCACTGAAACTGCGCAGAGATGTTGCATTTCTGTGCATCTTCTAACGAATTTATCATGGGGATTGATACCTGCTGCTGACTTTCACCACGTTTTTCAAGGCACTTTCTTCTATACACAACCACTCTTTAGAATCAACTTCCAGCAGCAGTATTTTCGAACCGATATAACCTTTACCATCATAACTTTTAAGAATAGAGCTAATTCCTTTTTAAAAGGCCGATAGCACATCTGCAATGCCGTTGGTGTTGTGGGTGATCATGGGCGACGGTAGTTACTTACCATCAGGTGAGCCGCATGCTCGTTTGCCCCCTTTGTTGTAAAAAACAAGTATAAATCAATCGATATAGAGTAAGTTAAACGATATTTCAGCGTTACTAACAAATGGATTGTGTTTAATTTGTACCCAATGATTAATAGTTGTAACAAGGCTTTTGTTCCGGCAATAAAACCCTTGCTTTTGTCTCCATTTTGCTGTAAAATATTGTTTCTCCCTTTTGTATAGGCGCTAACTACTAATAAAATTAAGCTGTGCTATATAAATAATCCAGGCTTATAACGTAAATGTTAAAGTTTGTTCATTATTTACTTTTTGGCGCCTTCACATTTCAACAAATCTTCGTGGGATTTCGTATTAACGTCAATCCTAACATAGAAAAGATAAGCTACTTTCATTAAATAATATATTTTATTTTTATTTTCAATGTCACTACATTTTTTTAATGGATGTTAATGGAACGGCAGTCCTGCCTGCGCTATCGGTATATACCAGTGAGGAATGATAGGCGAAGATGATGCAAATCAGTTGGCCCATCATGACAAATTCAACAATAAATTAATCACGATAGTTTCTAAATGGAACCGCGAGAAGGTCCTTCTGTTAGGATATTGCTAGCAATGGGGCTGTTAGATCCTATAACTAACAATCCGTTTCCCGGAGTCATTCAATAATATCCCAGTCATACGGAATTAGTTGCATATAAAAATTATTATGTAAATAAATATACATAAAATAAATATACGGAGAAATAGAAAAATATAATTAGAGAAACGTATGCTGACATATACCTCATATACCTTTAAGAAATAGTAAGTCTGAATGTGTCCATTTAGTAATAGAAGCTCAAATATTTTATTATATTTCTACTTATGTTTCTTGTAGTAAAACTGAAACTTTACTGATATAAAAGTAAAATATGAATAAGTAAATTAAAAAAAAAAGAAAGGAATGTAGAGCAACTATTATAGTGAACATCAAGTTAAGGTTTGGTTTTTACAATATCATAAAATCTGTTCCCACCATTATGGGAAATGTAACCACATATCATTTTTATCAAATCTTGCAACTAGTGAAACTAGATATAGCGCTAAAAACATTACTTTCCATTTTTCTTCTTGGGTAGTTAAATAAAAATAAACATGACACGAAACTGTCAATACTGTTAACATAATCCCTTTGACGGAGTCGGGCTGGATCTGATATAAGAGTATTATGTAACCCAACTGCTCTATGACCTATATGAAATTCTATCCAAACTTGACCCAATTTTGAAGCTATATAGTATTCATGAAACGGCATCTGCATGCAACCTTCATCTTCGTTATTTTGGCACGGATAACTTGAAGGTAAATAGAATTTTGTAAAGCTCATTTATGGGACCGTAATAATTTTATTCACATCAAAAAGGGTATGAAAGAGAGTCTTTAAAGATAGAGCAAAAATTGTGTATTCCCAGCGCAAAATAGGATCACAGGACATTAGTTTACGACAACGTAGATGACATCTACTTCAAAGATACTGACGATCAAAGAGCATTTGAACTGAATTTACTATTGAGCAATAACTTTTTTTCGATAGTGTCATTAGAAACCAAGTCGGTCAGCTGCATAGCAGAGAAATATGTTTTCAAATCCTGAGTTTGTAAGGATTTATTACTTATGTTTGTTTTAGCTTTCATTTTCATATAAAACACAAAATATTTGAATTGAATATAGAAAAAAATATGGTGATAAAAGAAAAACAAAGATGAGTACTGAAAGTAGAAACGCAATTAGTGAGCTGGCATGGTGCAGTCAATTCAAACACTGAGAGTAGATTATTCTCTTTTCGGTTGATCGCATTCATTTACCACATTCTCTCTATGTTTGCGTACGGAATTGTAGTTTCACGTTGAAGTATCATGAATGGAATTTAATTAAAATTTTTGAATTTAGAATACAAAATTATATCTTCAAATAGATTTTGCTTCATGACAGACTGGATTTGTTTCCACAAAGAAAAATCGCCACATAATTACAATGAGGTTAATACGTGAATCCAAATAGGCTATAAAAAAATACAGAAGAATTGAGAATCTTTAATTTTTGGCTTAACACAGTCTCCCTAATTTATTTTTGAACGGATTGTAAAGAAGAATAATAAATTTAGCAACAAGTTTAGTTTTCTGGCAACTGTAGACAGCCAAGTTCCTTGAAAGTCAAGGTTTCCATATAGACACCATGTCGCCATTGTTTACAATGTGAGCTCAAAAAGTAGGTCAAGTTTGGCTGAAGACTAATATGACGAAGTATTGGATTTTAAACTTGGCAGCGATTTTTATATGTTTCTTGATAAAATTGTAATACAAAAGCGGAACTCAGTGTCAATATTTATGAAACTGATCAACTTTCCCCAAGGACTATAGTCGAAATCTCAAAATAAAGTTTGATATTTTCATACAATTC